ACAGTTAATGCATTTAACCATTTTGAGCAAACACAACATTATCATGTTCCTTGCAACAATGATCAGATATAAAAAGTCTGAACAAATGTCACGTTCTCCTAATTTTACAAATTCTGCAGATTGCCGCCCATTCCAGAATTTCCAGAATCATCTCGATGAGCGAGCTTTTTAAATGCACAAAGTTCGATTGCTTTGTTTTTTTTATTGCTTATCGACCTCTCGCAGATTGTTTAAAGCCTGGCAATATTTTTAGATTGTAAGAATTCTTTTCAGATAATAATGGTTTTCTGGTATAATTCCACTAATCGTTGGGAAGAGCAGAGGCAAATATAATGTAACTGAATATAACGAACAACGCAACTCTCCGATTTCCTATTCCGAGCCGTTATCCATTGCATAAATTCGTACATCCAAGGTTACAGCACCTGGTATTCCCAAGTAGTCACCCATCTAGGTACTGACCAGGCTCGACGTTTCTTAACTTCGGCGATCGTACAAAAACTGTGATATGGCCGTAAGCCAAATGCACAACGTGATAGATACTGGTCTCGACATTCTTTTCACGTAAACCGAAAGAATTTTACAAAAACGATGTTAGTAAATCTTGAGGAGTTTCATGATAATAAAGAAATATATTAATGATTGAATTCTAATTAAATAGGATTGCATGTCATTATACTATGTATAAGACGTGTTTTTTCATAAAAATGACATTTGAGATAATATTTATCACCAAATGTCGAGGTCAGTTTATAATGAATAAGGTAAGACAAACCATATTGCGAAATGACTCAAAAAAATGAGGAACGTAGATAAGAGACTGATGAATATAGTAAAGGTTAATATTTTGAAAATCGAAACATAATCTTAATAAAAGCATATCATGGCGAAGCAGCTTCTGGCGAATGAAGTAAGAGATATCTGAATTTCTGGATGAGGTTTCATTATTTACATTATGTTCCACTTGTACTATTATCCCTGTCTTTGTTGTTATCACAACGATTCGACCGTTGTGCCCTCTGGCCTTCATCAGATGCCTGTCGACCCCGATAAACCGCGGAAATTTCGAACGTAAACTGCTATTTAATGACGGGGTGGAGTGTTCTTTTGCATTTACCGTCCAGGGAAAACTGCCATAATTGGGTGGTATTAAAAATAAAACCTAGACTCGTTTAGACGTGATTGCCTTAGATATGGACAGTGGAATAAAAAAATACTCTTGTTGACTAAAGAATGGTTCAGTTCGAAATTCCCTTAAGGTTAACAAGATCAACACGTACCTGATGAAGGCTACTACGGCAGAAACGTTGTGACAACAACAACAAAGATGGGACAATAGTACACGCGTAAATAAGAAAGTGATATTAATAATTTATACTTTAGTATAATTATGGTATGCCATAATTATACTTACATTAGTGATGTTATAATTACTGTATATACTCGTGTATAAGTCGACATCATGTATTGTAAGACCTCTGAAGTTTTTCCTCTGAGCTTTAAACCATGCAAAAAATTACCTGTGTACAATGCAACCTGTCACGGAAAATGCATGATTTCTAACCTCAAAAAAATTACCTCTGTATAGTGTGACTCCCTATATTTTGCGTAAAATAAAGATGATAAAAATTCCAACTATACTCAAGTACATACGGTATATAGAATAATTATTTTTTTCTCGTTATTTTAAGGAACAATTTGGTATTTTCGCAAAAAATTCATGTACAAAATAAGGAGACTTAAGATCCATAATTAATTAGCAATTCATATAGTGAAATAATTAGTATACCTTCCTTGGGTAACATAGGTTTATCAGATCTCAACAAATATCTACTTGCAAGTAATATTTAAGTATAACAGAAGAGTAAAAAAAAACAAAAAAACATTACCAGCGATTGGAACATGCGGATTTCCATTGCAATCATCCCGATCAGGATCGCCTTCCCAGACACAGGCATGAGCAAGATTCGACCACACTTGGCTGGTATTACAGTGAGTCGACTGCGCAACTTCTCCTTCAAATCCACACTGGTGAGCAACTGTGCAGTCTTGAGGGTCTCTCACCCACTGACCGGCTTGCACAGTCCCACAAATGTTCTGTGTGTAGGCAACGCCCGCAAAGAAGCAAAAGAGGGTGACAGCGAAATACAAGTTCATTTTGATGATCAAGGCCTGCTTGGCAGGGGGATGCACTTGAATTATATTGTTGCAAAGGCCCACAGTTCTTAAGATTAATATGGTAGGCTTACAGCGGTACTTTCAGTCCCTTCACTGGTTCTGAAGGCTCAGAGATTTTCTTTTTATAATCATGAAAGAGATATGTTTGCACACAAATTTATTTGCTGACGGTCGGCAGCTTTCCGAATATCCTTGCATTCCTGCAACACAAGGTCATCAAAGTTGAACTGGCTGGGGACACATCGTGCTGGATCAGGAAAAGAGGTATGTTTATTCGTGAAGCAAAGCAAATATGACGTTCACTAAGACCACTGAGGTCCAGCTGACATAAAGTTCGATACAACTTTCTCTTACTGATTTCTACTCTTATCGACCGACGCATTGTGATGTGACTGAGCGGTTCAGGTGTCAAATTTATACTTTGTTGAAACGCATGTCGTGACAGGGAATGCAAACACACGTTCGCTTTGATTTTTGTTCTAAGGTTAAGAAAATAGACTGTATTGATTTTGGAACCGTCTTTTTTCTGAATTTTACCATTAAGATTTCTTTAGTTTTTTCTTTGAATATAGTTCTGTATATTTTTTTGTTTTTGTCAAGATATTTCTTATATTAAGCTTATTTTCTTATCCCCCACTAGATAAAAGTATAGATAAGGTGACAAATTCTTGTTTCTTTTCTCCTATTTTTTATGTGCCGTGTCCGTTCAGGACGTGGGTGATCATGGCTCTCCATTTCCTCCTGTTCTTTAAACTTAAAACATACGGCTTCTATAGACATTGGAAAATCATTACAAAAGGCAATGCAATTAATTCAGCATGTTTAATGGCTCGGAGGCTTTTTGATATTTCAACTTCTTGCGGTATTGAATTATGGTATATTTTAGTTCAACTCGTGAATTGGTATCCTTTATAAAAGAAGTCACATTTAAAAGAGGACGTAATCTTAATTAATTTCCTCTGGATGCAATGAGACAAGCATTGAAAAGAATATATTATTTGCTGCACACGATAACTCTGTGATTCTTTTTGCAGGCAGATCTGGAAAATCCACAATTAATATAAAAATAGAAGAAAGAAAATGAAAAAGAAAATAATAATAATAATAATACTGATAGAAAAGGGTGACGATAAGAAGAAAAAATAAGAAGAAAGGAGATGAAGAAAAAAACTAAGAAAGAAGATGAAGAAAAAGGACAAGAAAAAAGAAGAAATAAGATGAAGACAGTAATAGTAGTTGTAGTGGTCGTCGTCGTCGTAGTAGTAGTAGTAGAAGAAGAAGAAGAAGAAGAAGAAGAAGAAGAAGAAATGTCTTTCGTTTCGATTGTCATATTTTACTTTCTCAATTTGCCTAACGCACGAATAATAAAGCTAACGATAGAGAACGAACAATATCGTTGCAAAAAAGAAAACGAAACAAGAAAGAAGAAAACGAAGAAGAAAAACGATTAAAAAAGAAAAAAGGATATTGAAGAAGAAAGAAGGAAGGTTAAAAATTAAAAAAAAAAAGGATATTGAAGAAGAAAGAAGCGAAGGTAAGAGAAAGGGCAATGAGAAAGAAAACGATTAAAAAGAAAAAGGATATTGAAGAAGAAAAAGGAAGGTAAAAAAAGGCAAAAAAGATAAACGATTAAAAAAGAAAAAGGATATTGAAGAAGAAAGAAGTAAGGTAAGAAAAGGGCAATGAGAAAGAAAAACGATTAAAAAAAAAAAAAGGATATTGAAAAAGAAAGAAAGAAGGTAAGAGAAAAGGGCAAATGAGAAAAGAAAAACGATTAAAAAAGAAAAAAAGGATATTGAAGAAGAAAGAAAAAAGAGAAAAGGGCAAAGAAAGAAAACGATTAAAAAAGGATATTGAAGAAGAAAGAAGCGAAGGTAAGAGAAAAACGGCAAAAAAAGGATATTGAAAAAGAAAGGATATTGAAGAAGAAAGAAGCGAAGGTAAGAGAAAAGGGCAATGAGAAAGAAAAACGATTAAAAAAGAAAAAAGGATATTGAAGAAGAAAGAAGCGAAGGTAAGAGAAAAGGGCAATGAGAAAGAAAAACGATTAAAAAAGAAAAAAGGATATTGAAGAAGAAAGAAGCGAAGGTAAGAGAAAAGGGCAATGAGAAAGAAAAACGATTAAAAAAGAAAAAGGATATTGAAAAGAAAAGAAGGAAGGTAAGAGAAAAAAAAGAAAACGATTAAAAAAAAAAAGGATATTGAAAAAGAAAGAAGCGAAGGTAAGAGAAAAGGGCAATGAGAAAGAAAACGATTAAAAAAAAAAAAAGGATATTGAAAAAAAGAAGGAAGGTAAGAGAAAAGGGCAAATGAAAAGAAAAAACGATTAAAAAGAAAAAAGGATATTGAAGAAGAAAGAAGCGAAGGTAAGAGAAAAGGGCAATGAGAAAGAAAAACGATTAAAAAAGAAAAAGAATTGAAGAAGAAAGCAAGGTAAGAGAAAAGGGCAAAAAAGAAAAAATTAAAAAGAAAAAAGGATATTGAAAAGAAAGAAGGAAGGTAAGAGAAAAGGCAATGAAAAGAAAAACGATTAAAAAAGAAAAAGGATATTGGTAAAGAAGAAAAAGGGCAATGAGAAAGAAAAACGATTAAAAAAGAAAAAAGGATATTGAAGAAGAAAGAAGCGAAGGTAAGAGAAAAGGGCAATGAGAAAGAAAAACGATTAAAAAAAAAAAAAGGATATTGAAGAAGAAAGAAGCGAAGGTAAGAGAAAAGGGCAATGAGAAAGAAAACGATTAAAAAAAAAAAAGGATATTGAAGAAGAAAGAAGCGAAGGTAAGAGAAAAGGATACGAGAAAGGAAAATTATTAAAAAAAACTCTCCTAGACGAAGAGGTAAATGTAATTAAGATATAAATGTCACCAAAGGGAAGACTCCATTTTTGCAATCACTGTACAACTGAAGATGCTGGGGAAACAATTCGATAGTCTTAAAACAAATTAAATTATTATACAAATTATTAAAGTATCACTAATAAATCGATTGTACCGATTACAAATGTAACAATTTGCAATGTTTTCAATTATTTGCCTCAGTTGATATATTACCAAAGAGGTAATGCATTTTTATCTATTAATCCGACTGTTTTTATCACCTAACGTTATTTTATGCGGAGAGCTATATTTGAATAATTGGGGGACCGTCAATAGCTGTGCTAGCAAGAAGTCACAAGTCATCGTGACCGAGGGTTTGAGTGTGCTGATACTGTAACTAAGGTCTGCTCAGCATAGTTGCAGTTGAAAAAACACAAATGTGCCTGAGCGAGCGTCTGAATTAGGGATTGGCTAGCCGCCCTAGTAGACGGGTGTCCTCGAATATATAAATATATATATATATTATGAAATGGACAAAGTCCGACAATTATTTTAAGATATTTTTATGTTTATACATTCTTTTTTTTATAGATACAAATATTTAAGTAAATGCTCTGTTTATAATAAACAGTATTAAATAACATATACAGGTCTGGATGTCCGAGAAATTTTCACAGAAAATTCATAGAATTTTCACAGATTCATAGAAGTTTAAAGTTCAAATACAGTAAAATTCGACCTTGGTAACCGAACGCTCCTCTGTGGCCAAATCGGTAAAGCCACGTCAAGCTAAATGACGGTTCTGTATAGGATACAGGTTCGAATCCTGTCGGAGGACGAATGTTTTCTGTGAAAATTTGTTAAACCGAACATTTCTCAGTTAACTCACAATTACATACGTTAAACGTTGAAGACAGACTAACCACAAATGTACACGAATGACAAATGTAACCAAGTCTACATGCAACACCAACAACATCTATCGTAAACCTTCTTCAAACTTAATAACTCAAAAACGAAGAATTTTCGGACAAATGATTATGTGGACTTTTGTCCTTGTTTTGGTGAAGGAACCCGCGCACAAAGTTTGTAATATTATTTTTGATACATCCTCTCTCTCTCTCTCTCTCTCTATATATATATATATATATATATATAGATATAGATATATATATATATAGAGAGAGATGGATGATGATGAGACAAAGTGGAAAGTCTATAAACGACGCGTTTCACTGAAAGTCTGTTGCTTTCGGCTTCTTCGTGTAAGAATGAAAGACAAAACTTTGTGTAAGGAAAATGCACAGTTTTACCATTTATTTGGATCTGAAGAAGCCGAAATGAGTAGACGTTCGGCGAAACGAGTCGTTATAGATTTTCTACTTTTGTTTCGGATACCATTATACATACAACTCTCTCTCTCTCTCTCTCTCACTCACACACACACACAAACACACACACAAAAAACACATTCCCTCACTTTATCCTTCAACCTACACTGTTTCTGACCTTCATCAATGATCTTCCTGATGTCATCAGTTTCCAAGTAGGCATTTATGCAGATGGCACAACCATTTACTCTTGTTTTAGTACCAAATCCCACAGACCTGAAAAATAAACCTGGCAAGTGCTCTTGAAAAGACCTCCAATCAGCGGTTAACTGGGGCAAAAAATGACTTGTAAATTTTAACACCTTCAAAAGAAAACTGCTTTCATTTAATCACCACAAAGAAACTTTTCTGCCCGCCATCAGCATGGCTGATGCTAACACGCAGAAGAACAACACAATACGCCTTCTCGACCTGACGTTTTCCACATGAGTCTTATGTAACATTTTTGTTTTATCTGTTAATATTCATTTTATGTCTAATTGTATTTTGGTTGTGTCATACCTGACGTACCTATTCTATTATTAGTAGACTCTCCCACACATAATAAGTAGTAGTAGTAGTAGCGGTAGCCAGTCGGCTCTGTGGTGTTGAGCGAGTCAGACGATATCGGACATTGAAGTACCAACCGTTCACTACTAGATTGCTGCGTCATTAACTCTTATTTCCAAGTTTCTAACGTTTTGTACGTCGAACCTAATTTAGGACAACTTATTGAAATACAAGCCTCCACTGTGAAAACCACTCTGCAACAAGAGATTATTGAGATGGGCACAAATAAATTTCACGGAGAAAATTAACCGACGAGAGAGTCTTGTATATGTGTGGCCAATGTAAAAATTTAATGTTTTTTTAATGTTTGCTATTGACTGACTATATAATATATATATATATATATATATATATATATATATATATATATGAAACGATAAGGAGAGAAATACATTCATATATGCATGCAATCTGATATGCAAAACTTGAGAGATTCCATTTTACTAGATTGCCGGAACCAAACTAATTTGATTTCAGGAATAGCGAATGGAAACACTTGAAACAAAATTACAACTGCTGTGCCCGTGAGACATTTTTCTCAAAATTCTTGCAACTGTCATCACCAAGTTGCTTCGTATGGCCACTAATTTAGATAAGATTCTACATTCGTTTCCGTAATCTCGAAAGTTGTTTAGCCTCATCTACAGAACACCCAGGGTTATTTGTCAAATGCTTCTATGACCTGAGCGAAGTTTTCCTATTGTTCTACCCACATCATAGATTCTTTTTGCCGTCCACCTACATATATATTAACCTATATCAGATATTACAATGCAATTCAAATTTCTCACAAAATGTTTGTAAAATATATAAGATATACTTATATTTATATTAGCATCATATCATGATAATATCTGGTTACAATAATCATTGTTATTTTATTTAAATGTTGATAATAACGCGCTTCGCTTTTTTTTTTTAAAAAAAAATCGATTTCACTCCAAGCAAGGAAGTAAATTCACTAAAACACAAGGGGTTGCAGAGTGTGGGAGAATTAGGAACAGGAACATTAATAATGAGCGGGAAAAGGAAAGAGTAATCAGGAAGACGATAGATAGCGATTGGCATTGCATTAATTTTTTTCAGATTAAAGCTGGAAAGCATAGAGCGAAAAGTGTGAGAAAAGAAACTGCTAGCATAGAATTTACGGTTGCATATAACCAAATAAGATATAAATTGATGGGATCTTCTTTGTTGGAAAATGCTAATCAAAACAAAAATGTTTTTAAAAGATTTTTGTGCCAATCGAAGAACGGACGCTGAATGCTCTCAATAACTACAGAAATTCTGATTCCTTTGAAGAAAAAAAAAAGGAATTTATTGCGAGGCTTATCGGTAAACATCAAGAACATCGTCTATAATTCGGTGAGTCAACAAATTAATAACACTCTATATTGCGTCTTCGCCCCTGCATGTTTTACTGGTTGTTAGTAAAATGTAAATTCATTTTGATTGTTGAAATTGTTTTTATTTTAAAACTGTTTTTTTATTGTTTCAAAGAATTACATGTGGAATTGGGAAAATAGTTTCGATACACACTTAAAAATATAATTATAGAAGAATGAAATTGAAAATAACAAAATGGATGAATATTTGGGGGAAAGCATTTTAGAAATCTAAACGATGAAAGTAGCAATCCCGTTAAAAATCCCGTTTGCTATGCTGTGAAATTCATTGTGCGTTCAATGTCTACGTCTAGTAGCACAGGCTTAGACGGTGGGGAAGCAGAGCCAGTGGATAGTGAGCAGTAGTAAAAAGTGTATAAGACGGGATATACCTAAACATGGAAAACTGGGAGAGATTAATATACTCCTGCAGATTAAATGAAGATTTAGTAACGCGGGTTAATAGAAACCTGAAGATATACACCTAACCCGGTCGAAACATTTGATTATGGCAGCTTATGTACTCTCACAATGAAACTGAATTCAAGTCCTCTTAGCATAGGTGCTGAAAAAAACTAAACAAACAAACAAACAAAAAACAATAACACTGGTGTTCCCTGTGAGCGTCGAACAAACAAAAATATGCCTGAGCAGGAGTCAGGAAAAAGGATTGATTAGCCAACCTAGAAGGCGGGTGTGCTCAGAAACGAATAAAAATCTACTATATACGTCTATATTGAGATAATGCGATGAATTTTGTTGGGGTACTATTATACAGGGTGCGATGAGCAAATTGTTACCATTTTATTTCTTTTAACATCGCGCATACATGTTGTATTTTTTATTGTATTTAGCCGACTGCACAGTATAGTAGGGTCAATTTGGCACCGTCTGTGAGAAAAAGAGCACCATGACGCAATTCATTCCGCCAGAAATTTGGAAACGGCATGCTGTACTGCTTGGCATTCGCACCGGAAGCTCTAATGCAAACATTTCAGAGTGTTTGGGTGTCACTCTAACGAGAGTGTAGAGGATTTAGTAAGAGACGGATGAGTCTAATGGTAATTACGAAGAAACGGAAGCTCAGAAAACTAGATCTGATCGTTCTGATAAGAAAAGAATTCCTGAATTTGTTGCTGGGATCCAGGCCATGCTTGACAAAGATTTCCCCAAGTCAATCAGGTCCATCGGCAGACACAGGAATATCTGAGTATCTTATTAGGTAGGTAGTGCATGAAGACATTCTATATTTCTCATGCAACACGATAAAGGGACAATGTTTATCCCAAGCTATGGACGTCAAGTAGAAAGACCGCGCTACGAAGTTTTTGAACAAACTCAAGCACCCCTCCATCCGAACATGTAATGTTTTTTCTCAGACAAGAAAATATTCTACCAAACACAAAAAACGTTGGCTTGCTGTTCTCAAAAGATGTACTGAAGATGATGAAAATCAAATTTCAGGCCAACATCATGGTGTTTGATGTGATTTATTCATCTTCTCAAAGAGCCTCGGACTCAACACGACGTGTAAATCAAGTGCTTTAGGAGATAGTTCTGCCCTGAGTCAAAGGTATGGACGCTGGAAGAACCTATGTCTGGCCACAAGACTCTGAACCATGTCAAACAAGCAGAAGGTAGTCTTGTCAGTCGGAAAATTTCTTTGACCACTTCACCCCTTCCA